CAACTCTTTTGTTTGAAGAATTTCGTAATGGCCAGGCGAGATGGCTCATACCTATAATCTTAGCACTCTGGGAGGCCAAGATGGGTGGATTGCTTGAGCTCAGGAGTAAAGCGAGACCCTGTCTCTAAAAAAAAAAAAAAAAAAATAGCCGGGCATTGTAGCGGGTGCCTGTAGCCCAGCTACCCAAGAGGCTGAGGCAAGAGGATTACTTGAGCTCAAGAGTTCGAGGTTGCTGTGAGCTATAACAGCACAGCACTCTACTGAGGGCAACCAAGTGAGATGCTGTCTCAAAAACAAAAAAAATGAGTTTTATAATAAAATGCAGGGAAAAATTAAAAATACAGATTTAACAAGGACATCCCATCCCACCAGAGCCCCCCAGGCCTCAGCCCTCTGTTCAGAGGTGGCCTGAAAGCCAGGGCTTCTGAATCCTCCCAGTCAGATCTGTGTGCCTCTGCTTTTTGTCCCACTGCTCAGCAGGGCAGGTCCCAGGCATGGTCTGCTCTGCTTTGCTCACTTGGCAGCATCTTCTTGGTGAGTGGACCTGTCCCATTTCCAAAGGTCTGCAGAGGATTATGCATTTCCCAGGTGTCCTATTGATAAGACCCCCAGACTATTTCTGGTCCCTGGGGGACCTCCATTCTGTAGGTGATTCCTGACATGGGATCCTGGCAGCACCCACCCCACTGGGGCTGAGGACTCCCTCTCTCCCCCATAGGAGCTGCCCTTGGGGTCCAAGGTGGAGATGGGATTTCCGCCTAAGCTCACCTTTGCTCTCAGCAGAGAAACCACACTGGGGCTGGGGCTGTGCAAGTCAAACTGCACCAGGGATGAGGCTCAGATTGGTCTCCCTTGGCTGAGATGCGAGAAAATCCTCACCACCCTGCACGAATGGTGGCCCTAAAGCAAGCCAGGGAAGCCATTGCTGATCCCAAGCAGGACATGGCAAGCCCAAGTAAAGGAGGCTTGGCTATGGCACGGTGTAGAGATGTCCCCAGGGCACCTCCAGTCTGGTTTGGGCTCTCACTGCCTTGGTGGGAAGGGAGGTAGGGGATGCACTTGGACCATGTCCTACTGCGCCTGATTAGGCCCTGCCCGTGCCCTCCCCACAGTAACTCCATTTCACAGAAGAGGAAACTGAGGCTCAAAGAAGCTGTGGTTTGCTGAAGTCCACATGGTGTTTATTCATTCCTCCATTCTGTTCAGTGCTTAGCCCTGGATCTGCAGCTAGAGAGGTGGGGCCAGGTGGTTCTTTAAATGCTCAGCCTTTGGTTCCCTCGCTGGCTCTCCCCGTCTTGGCCTCTGGCCTCAGGTCAGGCTGCGCAGGTGCTGGACATGGTTGGGCAACCTCAGTTGGGCGGAGGCGGCTGTGTCTGGAGTGCCCTCTGCTGGTCCAAGGGGCCTCAGGCAGGGGCTGGTGTCAGGGCAGGTCGGTTTTGTTGTTATGGTTGTTGTTGCAGTTCTGACTGCGCGCGTTCGAACCTGCCACCCTCGGTATATGGGACTGGTGCCCTACTCCCTGAGACACAGGCACTGCCCAGTGAAGGTTGGTTTTTAAGCAGAGGTCGCAAACCAGCCACCCTGGGGCAGCTTGCCCACAGCTTGATTCCTTTTGGTCTCACCATAGTGGCCAGTGCTTAAAAAGGGAGATGGCAGACAGCACTTGAATTTCCGATTTTTTAAAAATCAGAAGATCTGCACCCTGTAGGCCCACAATTCCAGTGCACAGCTGGGAAGTGCTGAGCAGGAAAGGGTGCCTGCATCCCTGCTGGCCACTGACCCCACCAGTCCCTATTGTCATCCACTGGCCCTATGGGCATTTGCACCCTCCTCAATATCTGGAGAGTCTGGCACCTTTGGGCAGCCAGTGTTGTCAGGAAGCCTGTGGGCCTAACCCTCCAAGGCAGCCGTATTCCTCAGACAGGCCTAGCCTTGCAGAACTGCGTCCCCCAAGAGATGTGGCTTATCCTGTCGGGGGCAGGTCTGCCCTGGTCAGCCTCTTGCAGCCTGTTTAGCTAAGGCACAGCACCCTGCTGGTGCCTTTGGGTCTCTGAGGGGTGTCAAGGAGGGTGTGGGGGCTTGGTGCCTGTAGCTCAATGGTTAGGGCACCGGACATGCACCAGGGCTGGTGGGTTTGAACCTGGCTGGGGCCTGCAAAACAACAATGATGGCAACAACAATAGCCAGGCATTGTGGCAGGTGCCTGTAGTCTCAGCTACTTGGGAGGATAAGGCAAGAGAATCACTTAAGCCCAAGAGTTTGAGGTTGCTGTGAGCTGTGACACCACAGTACTCTACTGAGGGCAATATTTGAAGACTCTGTCTCAAAAAAAAGAAAAAAAGGAGAGTATGGGCTCCTTGCAAGGGACCCCTGTCATGGTGAGGGGGACAGGGGTGCCAGGAGGGAGCGGAAGAGATCTAACTTAACACTGGTATTTGCTCTTGGTTAGCAGGGGAGGGGCTGCTGTGGGAAAGGGTTCAAGTGGGATGTGCTCTGGGCTGGCCTCCAGAGGAGGCCTGTGATGTGGGGGCTGGGCCTACAGGGAAGCAGAGGCTGTGAGAGCCCAGCAGAAAGTCAGAGAAGCTTCCCGAAGGTGGCAGATGGGGGATGAGTGGTGATGCTACAGTGCCTGTCTAGGGCCAGGTCAAATGGGAGTCACCCAGAGTGCTACTGAGGGCAGTGAGAGTCTCAGAGGGCGTGAGAGCAAGGGCGTATAGCTCCTGCAGCAGGATCCTTTGAGACCTGCACCCTATTTTATGGCTGGGGAGACTGAGGACCAAGGAGGCCTCATTGTGGTCTGATCTGCTTGATGGCAGCTGGCAACCCATAGTGGAAAAAAGGGCTGGAGGTTGAGGGATAGATGGGGTATGTGTGAGTGAGCGTGGGTCAGACCTGGAATTTGCCTGGTTCCATCTTTCACTGGTTGAGTGACCCTTTCTCTGAACCTGCTTCTACATCTATGAAACCAGCATTGTGCTCTGTGTCTTGCTTATTCCTGGGAAACGGTGCAGACCAAGCCTAGGTTTTCCCCACTGAGAAAAGATCCTGACATCACATCGTTTCACATTCTCCCACACCCTCATCCTGCATTGCTAGTGGGCAGGGAGAGCTTCACTGGGAGGAAGCCCTTCACCTAAAGGGAAACTAAGGCCCAGAGAGGGTGAGCAGTCAGCTTAGGTCTCAAGGCAAGAGTCTGGTATGCCAAGCAGAGACACCTCACGGGCAGGGACCAAGAGCAGCAGGCTGGCAGTAGATGCAGGCCCAGTGTGGGGTCACCCCTCCCCATTGTCCCTTCCCTCCCCTGGCCACAGACTGGTCAGTCCACATCTGCCTGGGACCCTAGCCCCTCCTTGTTAACACAAAGGCCAGGCCTCCCACAGGGGAGACAGGAAGGGGCTCCTGGCCAGCTGGGCTAAGGGTGGGTGGGGAAGTGAGAGGAGACAGGAAGGAAGCTCCACAGCTGGGGTCTGGGGCCCGCATTGTCTCACCTGGGGGTGGGGGCACTCTGGCTTCCCCTAGATGCCTCCCCAGCTCTGTAGGGCAGCAGGGTCTCTGGGCCCTCCCTCTCCAGACCCAACCCTACTGCTGTCTTCCAGCCCCTGCCCCAGCCTCAGTTTCCCCATCCATAAAACCTTAACGGATGTCACAGGTAGAACCAGCCTTTGCTCCATACCCTTTGCCCAAGTTAACTCCGCATGAAAACTTCTGAGCAGAGGGCACTCACTGTTTCCACTTCACAGAGGCCTCCGTAAGTTCAGGGACTTGAGAGGGTCACGCAGAGAGAGTGGCAGAGCTGGGACTCAAGCCAGGCAGTTTCTCCAAAGCCTAGGGCTTTGACCTCTCTGCTCCCCTGCTGTGCCATCTCAAACCTAATCCTTTTCACTGAATAGCTCTCTTGTAAAGGTTACTTACTGAGTCCTACCCTAAGCTGTTAGTGTGGACAGATAGATTGGTAGATAGGTAGGCAGGCAGATAGACAAATAGATGATTGGTAGATGATAGATAGAGACAGATGATAGAGGTAGAGATGAACAGATGACCACCAGTGTTACTAAGTCATATTCAAATTAACACATAATTATGTAAACTCCTAGCAAAGCCCATTCATTGTATGAGCCCCTGAAGTCACTGTACCTACCCCTTTGAGGGCCTGGGGCCCCAGAATGTGAAGGCTGAGACCTTCCCAGACAAGAAGTGGGGACACTACTCCCACTGAACAGATGTGAAAACTGAGGCTGAGCCAAGAAGGGATGGTCACAAGGCCAAGGGACATGGAAGGCTTTTTCTATGGTGCCCATCTCCCCATCACACCCAGGAGGTGACTGGGACAGGAGCATGTCCTCCTCCCAGGTGGATGAGAAGAAACTGGAAGAGCCCCAAAGGAAGTGAGGGGAAGAGGAAGCTTCAGGGCCTCCCTGGTCTTGGACTGGGGAGGGCAGCCCCAGGGCTGAGCGGAGCGGGATGTGAGACCAGTGGCCCTGGATGAGGACTGTTGCCCCTGCCTTTCTGGCCCCTGGGTCCTGACTTAGACCTCTGGCCCATGACCAAGAGCCCTCCCAACATTGGACATCACCTGACACCCCTCCCCCAGGTCCATCCCAGCCCTGCCCCAGGGTCTCAGGGATCCCCTAGGTCTCAGCCCTGCCTGCATAGAACCCCTGCTCCCAACCCCTAGCATCCAAGCTCTTCAGCCTGCTCAGATTTTATTGAAGGTAGAGCTGGGGGAGCACACAGACCCCCTTCCTGGAGAAAGGATGGGGCTCCAGGCACTTTGGATGCCAGATGGGCCGAGGCTCTCTCCTGGGGCTGCACGAACTGCTCAGTAGCCCCTGTCCCTGCAAACATGAAGGCACATGCCTTAGCTCCTGCCACCGAGCACAGAACCAGTGGCCGGGCAAGGCTGGCAGGAGAGGAGCAAGTGGACAGCAAGCTAACACCCCCTTCCTGGGGCAAGCAGTATGGGGCAGGCCTGGATAGGGCACAGGACGGCGGCAGAAATGTTACCCCCAGCTCAGGCCCCTCTTGGCCAGCTCCACCTGGGCCAGGCGGCAGTCACTCAGCACCCGCACCCTGGTGATGGCAGCCAGTGGCCTCTGGCGGTGTGGGAACTGCAGCACCTTGTGCTCCTGGGCGTAGACATGGAAGTGCTCCGTGTCCGAGCTGACTTCCATCTGGGCAGGAGGAGCCAGGTCTGGTCCTGCCTCTGCCTTGGCTGTGCTGCCAACTCCAGGAAGCACAGAAGCCAAACCACCCCCAAGGTTCCCTGGCCACACAGCCCCCCACCCGGGCCTGCCCCCTATGTGGGACTTGGAGCCCCAACTTTCTCCTGAGAGAGGTTGCTGGTGGCCAAGGTGGTGGGTGCTCCCCATACAAGGAGGGGACTGAGGAGGGGAGACCTGCAGTGGACCATCCACGATGAGACCCTGGCATCCTGCCCCCATGGGGTCCCTCCTGGGCCCCACATCACCTCAAAGGGCTCCCCCAGGGCCAGCGGGAAGACACTTGACACCTCCTCCTCACCCCAGCGGCCACCCTGGCAAGTATTGCCCACCATGGTGGCGCTGGAGAAACGAGGCTTGATATGGAAGGCGATGTCCCCCGCCTCGGACAGGAAGTCGATCTCGAACCTGGAGGCATTATGCAGGTTGTGAGGGCAATGGAGGGCCGGGCCAGCCCCCCCACCCCGGGCCGAGGAGCACTGGGAGGCAGTGTCCCTTACTTGTCCTCTCCGGAGTCAGACTGTCCCTGTACCAGCAGGCTCCAGCCAGGGGCCAGGCCCCCGGCACAGAAGGCTTCGAACTGAACACAGAAAATGGGGTGGGAGAGAGAGACCCCACAGGGCTAGAACTTCCTCTCTCCCCTGCATACCCCAGTTGTCTGCTAGGGCCCCCACACAGCCAGCTGCCTCCCACTTAGTGGGGACTCTGTTCCTCTGAATGTTTCCTTCATTATAGGGCAGGGTTGAGGGGGCAATCCTATGAGCAGGCCAGCTCTGGGACTTCACCTCCCTGCCCTGTTAGTGAGAGGGTGGCTCAAGGAGACCCCATCCTGCTCCCTTCTCCCCGAGTTCAGGTGTGGAGTCCGACTCTTGGGCCCTGGGTCTCACCCACCTGCAGGGTCATCTGCTCCCAATCACAGCCCAGGGCGGAGAGCCTGGGGATATAGGCAGGGTGGGCTGGGGGCGGGGTGCATGGGAGCCCCACCCCAGTGGCTTAACAAGGTCATTGTGCCCTTCCCTCCCCCTGGCCCTCAGGCCTCTCCCTGCCAGCTGGCTGTCTACTCTAGCATGAGGATGGAACAGGGTTGCCTGCCCCTTCCCCCCACCACCTGCTTCCCCGGTCCTACTTCTTAGGGTCCTCAGGCCTCTAGGAAAGCAGCTTCCCCAACTCTTGCAGGAAGGGTATAGCTGAAACAGGGACCTAGGCCCAGGCTCTTCTTCTGGGGTCACGAGCTGACTCTGAAGACCCAAACCCTCTCATCTGGCCAAGCGAGGGCAGGGAAGGGGAGGCGTGCTCTCAGACCCCTGCCCTAGCTTCTGGGGTCCATTTGACTGCCTGGTGCTGCAGGACCAATCTAGCTGATGGTCTATGCCCCGAGCCTACCCCGACTCCCACCCTGCCCCACCCCCCACCCCCTACCCCCCACAGCTGGCTCAGCGGCCCCACAAGGCACAGAGCCGGGATTAGGTTGGGCTCTGGTCAGCGCATTCCAGGGCTCTGGCGGACAGCAGGGTGGTGGGGACAGACAGGCCTTTCCCACACCGCCACCCACGCCCCTCCTCAACCTAGACTCAGCCCCTCAGACTGAGCAAGGGGAGGGGCCAGCTGGGCCTGGAAGGATCGTGGAAGGAGGTGGGCAGTTGTGGGTGCCACTGAGGAGGGAGCTGGCCTGAGCTGACCCTGGCTGGGGCAGAGCTCTGGGGCTGCCCTCAAAGGTGAGTGTATAGAAGCAGACGGAGTATGCCCTGTATGTGCAAGGGTTGGGTGTGAGTGCGAGTGTGTGTGTTCAGATGGCTGAGGAGCCCCTCTCCCTATGTTTCTTCTCTTCCATTCCTTACTCCAGGCCTGGGGCAGGGCCGGCTCTGTGTCTACCTGGCCCCTCCAAGGGTTCTGCTGCCTGAGCGTGTGCCAGTTTGGGGCAGGAGGCTGGGGCAGCTAAGGCATGGAGGGGACACAGAGGGGGCCATGGCTGGTGCCTGCCCACTAGACAGTACAGGGCAGTGCAGAGCCCCTGTCCCTCCATGCTCCTCTCTAGGCTGGCACACGGCAGGGATGGCTACAGCCCTGTAGGGGGCAGCCCTGGGCAGCACAGGGGCCTGCCTGGCCTGTCCCTGCCAGGTATGTATCCCCATTCTGGCTGGTCATCCTGGGCCCACAGGCTGCAGACCCCCACATCTGCTTCCTCCCCTGGGGGTGGGGGCACAGATATAGAAACCCATGGCCACTTCGCCCTGGCAGGAGGGGGAAGCCCAAAGTCACTTCTCACTTTCTGTCCTGTGGGCCTGGGACAGGGCAGTTCTAGCTTCAGCTGCCAGGTGAGGACATGGAACCTGAACTCTGGGTACAGAGCTGACCAGTACCCAGGGCCCAGGGCTGGGCAAAGCATGGAGTCAGGGGACCAGTACAGGCTTCCACACAGCTGGCAATCTTAAGCTCCTAGCCTCTGGGCCTTGGTCTTCCCAGCTGTGCCCTGGGCTCCCCAGTCCACATCAGTGATCCAACCTCTGTGCCCTATACTTGTCCCCTGGGTAGTGGAGGGTGGCCTGGGGAAGCCACACCCTGGTCACTGTTGACTCTATCTCTGTCCCTGTCTTCTCATTTTGGAGCCAGCAGGGGTGCTGGTGAAGGGGCCTTGAGTCTTAGAAGCAGCTACTGAGCCCCAGCTGCGTGTCAGAGTGCTAAGGGTCTTGGCCTCCAGACTCACTGGACAAGAGGCCTGGGTGCTGCTGCTGGATAGGAAGTCCTGAGACCCCCCCTTCAGGCAAGCCTACCCCTCTGATCCTTAGCCTCCCTAAATCTCAGGGGTATGAGCCTAGTGCCCCAGCCCCACCAGGACAAAGCAGGCTGAGGGCCTCCCTGGGCCTCTACCCCATGCTCACATGTATACCTGGCGTGAGTGTGAAGCTGTAATCTCACTCCATCTGACCATGGCTTCAGAAACTCTCCCACGTGGGTTAGAAACTGAGAGTTGCCAAAGCTCTCAGCAGACACTGACCAAGGGACAAAGAGAGACACCAAGGCTCCCCCTCAGCCCCCTTCCCTTGGTAGGCCCAGCCCTGCAGGTACATGCTGTCCTCAGCCCTGATGCTGTGGCTGTGGATCCAATCTGGCCTACCTCTATTGCAGCCTCAGGGGTCTGGATGGCATGATGGGCAGTGCCCACCCAAGCGGCTGGCTGGGCACAGGCTGCTGGGGCCATGGCTTGGGGCCCAGGAGCAAACAGACCTTCAGTCTGGTGCCTCCTCCAGCTCCTGTACCACTGCACACCCACCGGATATGCGGTTTTGCCCTGGGCTATTGACTCCAGGAGGCAGCAGCATCTCCACCCAGCTCCAGGAGGATATTCCCCAGGGTGGGGACCTATTCTCAGCCCTGCTGCCTCCATTGCCAGGCAGTGCCCAGCTCAGGGCTGCCACCCAGAGATGCCAACAGACACTTCCTGCTCACAGCAGAACAGCCAAGCACCAGGCTAGGTTCTCCACCTGCATTATCATGTTTACAACACTGTAAGGGTGGTACTGTCATCTTCCTTTCAGAGACGGATATAAAAACAGAGAAGTGGGGGGGGGGCACCTGTGGTTCAAAGGAGTAGTGCACCAGCACCATATACCAGAGGTGGCGAGTTCAAACCCAGCCCCAGGCAAAAACTGCAAAAAAAGAAAAAAAAACAGAGAAATGAAGTGAGTGACTGTGCTCAGGGTCACACCGGGGTGTGGGTGGGGGGTAACAAAGCCAGGATTTAAACTCAGCAGTTCCCCTAGGGTCTGTGCTTCTAAACACCCGGATTGTCTCTGGAAATAGAGCCTCCCACCAGGTTAGAATGGGTGGAGGCTATCAGGGCTGGCTTCTTGAAGGAGGAGGTCTTGAAGAATGAGTAAGAGTTAGAAGGTAGGGGGAGGGAACATGCTTCAGGGAGAGAGAACAGCGGGTACAAAAGCAGGGTGTTTGGGCCTAGGGGCGGGCGGTGGGTCCATCTGTCCTCAGTGGCTCCTGGCATAAATCTCCCAGGGACAATTTGGCAAGGATTGCCTCATCTTTCTGGGAGCCTACCAGAGCTTCCCTGGAATTCCTGGAATTAGGCATCATCGTGCCCACTTGATTGATGAGGAAACTTAGGTTCTGAGAGAAAAAGATGGCCCCACAATGAAGTTGTGGCATGGCCAGGCTGTGAATGCAACCTCTAGACTTCTCACCCCTTCCTGCTGGCCCGCTTTCCTCTCCTGCCCTGCCCTGCCCTGCCCTGCACAGAGCACCCAGCTTGGCCCGACAGTGGCGGCTCGAGGTGCTGTGCCCTGGCTCTCAGGGTCTTGAGCTGGGCTGTGCTGCCTTCTCAACCTCAGATCCCTCCCCAGGACCCCCCTTCTCACCCTCAGCCCACATCTGGAACTGCTTGTCTGGACAGTGAGGTCAGCTCGGAAATTCTCAGCCCCCGCTCAGCAAGGAGGCACCAGACAGATTCTGAAAGACAGGGCCAAGCACCAATCTCGGTACAGATAGATGGCTATGGGCCAGCTCTGCCCATGGCTGGGTACTGGGTGGTCTCAGCATACAGCAGCCCACTCTTCTCTCTGTCTGGCGGTAAGATGGGTATGCCCTCTGAGTCAGGCAGGAGAAGTGAAGGGAACATGGAGACAACCAGGGCAGTTAGAAAGCCCACTACACAGATAGGGAACTGAGGCCCATGGGGAGGCAAGGGGCTTGCCAGCAGTCAACAAGGGCAACTGGAATGTGGGCCCAGAGCTCTGACCCCTGTTCCTGCTTTGAGGCTCCCGGTAGGAACTTGGCCACGAATCCTATTAAAGTTTGGGACTGACCATGGCTGGAGAAAGCTGATTCCAGATTGAACCCAGCTCTGCAGAGGAGTTGGGGTCTCTCAGTCCCTGGTACTCCCTCACCTGGCCCTTCTGAAACTCTAATAGCTGTCCTCAGCCACCAGTTGACCCATCAGCATTCATCTGTCCCACATCCCATTCCTTCCAAGTTCATCTTTCATATGACCTTCCTGAGTCTCTCCCTCTGAATCTCACTCCCTCACTTAGGATAGAGGGCACTTTCAATCCAGCCATTAAAAAGGTACTATTGTGTGCCCCAGCAGCTTCTTGAGACCCTCAGAGGGCTGTAGGAGAGGGTTGGGTTTGCACCTGACACATGTGGGCCCTCCTGCCCTCCTCTGGCACCGAATAGCTCCTAGTACACAGTAGGTGCTCAGATGGTTCAATGACGCTGCCTCTCTAATTCAGGGCAGACAGGTGTTAGGGAAGGCAATACTGAAAAGCTCATCCTGACCCTGCATTGTGGGGAATAAGAGAAACACAGTGCTTGCCCCTGGAGAAGCTTCCAGTATGTGGGGAAGGGGAGAGCAGATGCTAATTGTCAAGATTCTGCTTCCCATTATTTAATTACTAAAAGGAAAATATGAAGAATGACAATTGTGTACCTTGTGGGGGGTGGGGGAAGGGGCTGGCCCTGATATGAACAGTCAGGAAAGACTTCTTGGAGGAGCTGCACCTCGAAGAGAAAGAGGTTTGGCCACATGAAGGGGAGAAGAGTGTTTCTGGCAAAGGGAATAGCATGTGCAAA